TTACACTACCTGTGTTTGTTTGATGGAAGTATTTATTTAGTTTTTACTTCATCTAAGATTTCTCAGAAAATAGACCTGCATAGAGAATTCCTAAGGAACAAAAATTGTTATAAAAACCATTTGGTCAAAAGAAGACCATGTGAGGGGCTGGGGATTTAGCTCAGCAGCAAAGTGCCTGCCTGGCAGGCGCAAGGTCATGAGTTCGATTCCTGGTACAGGAAGAAAAACAAAACAAAACAAAACAAAACAAACAAAAAAAGACCATGTGAAGACAATAACTTGTTTCCTAAAGAAAATAAAATTAGACTGTATCCTTTGGGAAAGTTTCTAAATTAATCACATCAAGAAAAGATAACCCTGATAAAAATACCACATCAACAAAATTGCGTAAGAATGATGAATTTAATTATTTATCAATATATAAGTTAAACCTTCCACCTAAACTATTGAATTTTACAGATAAGCAGATAGTGAAAGAATATTATACCTAAACCAACTATTTCAGAAATTCAAGGAGAGTTGACATGAGCTATTTATTTAATCAATAATAAAATTCATCATTTCTTTAAAGTGAAATGATATAAGCATGATTACCTCTTTTTTCTGCATTACTGAAGGCTGAACTCAGGGCTCACACACGCTAGGTGAGTACTCCTTGACTGAGCTACATCTCCAGCCCCTTCAAAGTCTTTTTTTATAATTTTAAAACAGAGTCTTGCACTCCCAACCTAGCCCACACAAGTAAGCAGATCATAAATTTAAACACCTTAACATAATTGAAAGAAAGTATCTTTAAGAAAACAGGATTATATTTTCTCAATGTGAGGAGGAATATGTTTCTTAAATGAAGTGCCTGCATTACACTTGGATGGAATATTTGAGACATTCATATTAAAATCAGGAATAAAATAGGGAGCTGATTATGTTCCCATTTAACATTTTTTAGAAGACTGAATCAATGAAAAAGACTGTGATATGCAAGTTCTAGTAAGAAAAATACAATTATCAATATTTAAAAATAATATTATTGTAACTATAAAACAAACTGAAATAATCCATTGAAAACTTATGGGAGTAAAATAAAAGTGGTTGGACAATCAGTACATGTTAAAATTACTGCACCAATGATAACTGGTTAGTAAATGAATTATGTAGAAATAAACATGTAATGTTTACTATTGAAATATAAATGTGTGATATAGGGATGATTTTGATGTACAACATGTATGATTTGATAATATTAAGATAGTCTATTATATGGCATACAATATTTGGAGAAGAGTGTCATGTTCCTTTCTTGAGGAGGATGTCTGAATAGTGTAAACACAGCAATCTTTACACATAGGCTTAATGCAACTCTAATTCAAATTCTAGGAACATATTTTGGGAGAAGGGATTGAAATAGTGAATGAAAATTTCAGCTGAAGAACAGAGGAGAATCTACTTAAGGAAATACGAACAAAGAATAATAAAGGGCCTTGCTTTACCACGTGGTAATCTAATACAAAACATTGTAACAAAACTTAAAGGTTTTGTTAGAACAGAACAGATGATCTTGAAACATTTGACTATGGATAAAATAAATTTGTATTTATTCTGGTATAATAATGCATTGAGGAAAAGGGAAATACCAGTAACTCTTGCTTTAGAGTAATGCCTGGGTGAGGATAGATTATTTCTTTAAACCATAATAAGTTTCAGGCAGGTTAAAGGATGTGTTTAAAATTAGACCACAGAAGTTGGGGAAAATATTATGGGCTCATGGTAGAGGTGTGGAAGTCCTGTCCCTGCTGTAGGTGTGGTCACCACGAGAATGCAAATGGCTCCATGACTTGAACCTGGGAGCAGCACTGGGTAAACTTCAGGATAATAAGAAGAAAGAAGCAACGGATGCAGGGCAGTCACTGAGTTAGAAATCCTCAGCATGTCATGGCCAGAGTAGCAAATTATTTTAAATAGAGTTTCAAGAGCAATCTGGAGCTTCTGGGCACCAGAGGCTGTTGACCGGTGAGGTAAGACAAAGGACGGCTGAGCCCTGGTCAAGGGCTCTGGCTCTGGCTTAGTGGTGGAGGTGAAAGCCTGAGTTTAGTAGCTAAAGAGAAAATGGGCAGAGAGGAGCTGTAGTCAGAGGGCAGGCAACTCTGAGGGAAGGAGAAGGAGGAAGTGGTAGCTGGAAGGGAAACGGAGTCACAAAGGTTAGTTTGGTGTTGGCTTAAGGTGGCATGTTGGAGGGAGGGAGTTTTAGGCAAAGTGATGAACTTGAGTGGCAGGACAGTGAGATCTAGAATGCCTCTGGAAGACTTGGTCTTTTCCAGAAAGAACAATTCAACCAAAGTAATAGGGCACAGGTGCAGGAGGTCGGTGTCTGAGGCAGTGGGAGCTTGGGTGCCTCCTCCTCATTGCTTTCAATTTCTCAATGAAACGTGAAGAAACATCAACAATTGAGTGTGTGGATGGGGAGATGCAGGAGGAGAGATTTTGAGCTGAGGAGGGAGGAGAAGTTATAAAACAGTCATCCAGCAAGGTCTGGAAAGAAATCGACCAGAGAAAGCACCAGGGTTGCAGAAGAGCACAGGCAGCGCATTTGAAGGGAATGATGGCGAATTTTCGGCCAGACTAGAAGACACAGTTGTCTTTCTATAGGAACGTTTGGCTTAGAGGCGTAAGTGTGGAGCATCTGGAGAACAGGGCCTAAGCAGTGTGTGGTGAACTGACCGGGACCGTGCGCAGGGACAGCGAGGGAGTGAGCACTGCAAAGCAGGGGTGCTGACAAAGGGTCGTGGAAGCCAGGCTGGTTTAAAGAGGGAGGGCACGAGCGATAGGGTGTGAGCACCCACGGTGAGATTAAAAGTGTTGCAGTGATAAAAGCTGAACTGGGGAGACTGTAAAAGATGGTCAAGTAATCAGACCCTCAAACTGGGAATCACAAAACCACAGGAAGCTAATGATGAAGGGTTTGAATGGGTTAAATTTTATGAATACTAAGATCACCAAGAATTATGCCAGAAATGCTGCCAGACAGAAAAGACTGATACAAGGGGCGGGGGGCGGGAATCTCCAGGGAATAAGATGCACTGGTGATCTGAGGGTTAGGATGTGACTTTGATAAGCAGATAGAGTGGAAAAATAATGGGGGTGCAGGATTCAAAGCTGGTGTTGTGGGGAAGAAGAGGAAGAGGACCTGAGACTGGCGCCGGGGGTAAGGGACATCGGTCCCACCTTCAGGAGGAGGAGAATGAAGAGCTGGAGAAAACAAGGGTTACTACTTCCGGGGGCTGCAGGGGCAATGCCAGCGAGCAGAAGGCTGGGTTTCCATGAAGAAAGGTGAAAGGAACTAGGAGCTTTGCGGGGCTTTTGCTGCTGACTGACCATGACCTCTGCACAACTGGTAAAAGGGTTTCAGAGATAACAAGAAGCGGGAAATGGGGAGAGAAAAAAGTATGGAGGTGTGAGGTTAGAGAAGGAGTAGTAAGTCAGGAAACCGGAAGTTTTCATGGTGATAGAAACAGTAAGAGAAAAGGAACTGAGAATTTCGATCTTTCCAAGGCAGACAGACGCAGAAGGCAGTGCATGGGGCTAGAAGGAGATCAGAAGTTAAGAGCGACCTCAAATAGAGGGCAAATGGGTAGGTGAAGGGATTTCTAATGAAAGATTTTAAAAAATATCTAACAACACTGGTCATTCGAGAAATACAAATTAAAACAACACTGAGATTTCATCTCACTCCAGAAAGAATAGCTATCATTAAGAAATCAACCAATAACAAATGCTGGAGAGGCTGTGGGGAAAAAGGAACTCTTCTCCACTGTTGGTGGGAGTGTAGATTGGTGAAACCACTGTGAAAATCAGTGTGAGATTCCTCAGAAAACTAAAACTAGAGGTCCCATTTGACCCCATTGTGCCCTAAACAGTTAAAAGGATCATACCACGGCAATACATGCATACTTCATTTTTATAGCAGCATGATTTATCATAGCTAAATCTTGGAAACAGCCCATATGCTCATCAACAGATTAATGGATAAAGCAAATGTGGTATTTATATGCAATGGAGTACTACTCTGCCATAAAGAAGATTAAACTTGAGTTATTTTTAGGCAAATGGGTATACCTCAAAACCATTATGTTAAGTGAAATGAATCAGACACAGTTTAAATATCACATTGTTTCTCTTGTGTAACAAACCCAGAGGACAAATAAGGAACAAAATGGAGAATAGACATTGGGAAGTAGCAGAACATGTTCAAATGGGAAGGAGAACAAGGAGCGGGGAAGAGAAAGAGAAGGAAGGGGAAAGTGATTTTAAAAAGAGAATTAAAGGGAAAAATGGAAATAAAGCTTTTGTAAACCAGGAGGGGAAAAAGGATTGTAAGGAGGGGAGGAGAACTCAAAGAAAATATGAAATAAGAGATTATGTACAAATACAGATATGACAAATGTGATCACTATATATGGCAAAGACTGTATGTACTAATAAAAGTAAATTTAAAAAAGAGTGCCTCACAAGCAATATGCTCTGATAAACAAATTTAAAGGGTAGAACATAAAACTTCACCAATGGTGGGAATGATGAAAATCTTATTTGTACACACATATATAAAAATGGTAGAAAGACCTAAAATATTACATTTTTATTTAGGCTGAGTTTTATGTATAACTTTTATTTTTTCTTAAAAATTTTCTACAATTTCCAAAACTTTTATACAGAGCAATTTTTGTTCATAACTACAAAAGGAAACTTCACATAGTTTTTAAACAGTGCCCCTGGTGCTCTTCCAAGATGCTGTTAGTCTATTTTCATGAAACAGCGGCATTTCCAGTTATCATATTTTGTTATTTTTTAAAATGTGGAACATGAAGGGGGTCTTTCTCCCTGGATGCTGTATTTCCCCTAAAGGTGCGTCCCCTGAAGATGAGCTGGACTCCACACATGGCGTGTGTTTGCATAGACAGAAATCAGCACAGAAATCAGCACAGTTCAAGGAAAACTCAGGTACCTACCTGGCAGATGGATGTTTCCGGGTCACACAGGTTGCTGTGCCCGTGACATTGACATGGAACACACTTGCCTAGGGTAGGTCCTGGGCTGCGGACACCTGGCTCAGGACGCAGCCGATAAAATCCTGGTGAGCATGTCTGAAAGAGGGGAAGCCAAGTGGGACAGCCGAGTTAGGAATCTCACTGTAGCAACGCTTCAGCCCTCGCTGGCTACACAGACAGATTCTCTCGTTGCATGTGTGGTAGGGGCAACACTGCTTACAGACTCAAGCGCCAACTTTGCTACTTAATGTGTCTTTCTGTGGGCTCCTCATTTTGGCCACAGATGCAGGCAGCATCCCTGTAATCAGATTTTTAGCCGAGGAAAGCTTTCATTTGCGTCCACAGTTCCTTGCCTGAAAACGCTTCAACACGTCTTGTTTTTAAACTTGAAAAAATTTATTTTTAACTAACATTTTCATATGGACTGAAAAGATAGTTCCAATGTCCCTGACAACCCAAAATCAGCTCCTTCTGTGAATGATGGAGAACTAGCAAATGTCTGATGAAACGCAGCAAAAGATTAAATAAATAAAAAATACGATGGATGCATTGTCTATATCAATACAATCTAAAGACTATAAAAAGAAGAAGTTCAAAATAATAAAAGCCTTCTATGTCTTAGGCCTCTTAGGCCATCAATAAAATTGATCTTTCCCGATCTTTTTTTTTTTTTTTTCAGTTTTGCAATAAAAATCTGAAAGTCAACAGAAAATTACTGGTGAAGCTGACGTATGCAAAATCAAGACTTTCATCTCCATTCAGGTTTATTATGGAAATGTATCAGAAAGTGTCTGGCTTTCCTGAAGGAGGTGCTCAGGTCTCCAGGGAACAGAGGCGTGGTGCACACTCAGCCTCCTGGAATTCATCAGACAAGGCTCCATTTTGCATCAGGAGGTAGGAGTCAGCCTTCAGAGCCCACTGAAAATCATGAACAGGCTGTTCTCATAATTCTGGCTACACAGGACATTTTTCTTTTCTTTTCTTTTCTTTTTTCTTTTTTTTTTTTCTGGTACTGGGAATCGAACTCACGACCTCGCACTTGCCAGGCAGGCCCTGTGCCGCTGAGCTAAATCCCCAGCCCCCGCTAGGACATTTTTTCACTTAAAAACTATGCTAACCATTCATGAAAGGAAAACGATAGCTGAACAAGCAAGCAAAGCAATCTTGGACAAAAACTTCCTAAGCCCTCCTATTGTGTCCTAACAGGAGAGTGGAGAATACTTTCAAAAGAGAAATAGATCAATATGCAGCACTCTCCCCTTGTTTGTTTTGATTTGGATAAGGAGTACCTCAATTAAGTATTTACTTAACAGTCTCTCTGGTCTTATCAGTCTATAAAAAATTCTAATGAATTTAATAATGTCCTAGCTTTGAGCAAAATGATAAAAGAAAACAGAGTAATATCCAAAACATCTTGTGTTTCATTTTTCTTTTGGTGGACATAATCACATAGTTGAGTGAAGTTTATACAGAGTATTTAAAAATCAAGCTTCCTTTTTACCATTCTCATAAAATAAGGTCTAGAAATTACAGTTGAATTAATTTAAGCATCAAAAAACATCAACAACAACCCAAGGTGTACTTAAAAGTGGTTTGTAGTACGCATTGTTGCAGTTTGTTAATGGCTTGACTATTGAATAAAACTGAATTTTATTGACAAAGATTTTACCCTTGACTGTCTTTCTAGGTGTTGTTATTATATTGGTGCATTTCCTTGAGGTCTGTGTGTATGTTTGTGTGTCACAGACAAATGTGTCAAATTACACAATTTAACGGGAAATTCATAGCTCCATTGTACATCTCAAATAACGGTTTGAAATAAGTCTTAGAAGAACAAAGGTAAGAAATGGTTCTATCCATAGAGGAATGACCTGAAGTTAATATGAAGGGCTGAGATACGCAAACGAGCACTAAGGTGAACTCCTGCCATGTACAAGCACTGCTCCCTCTCATGTGACTCCTTTCTGGACGGGAGCTTGGTGCAGGAGCAAAACACGGGTAGAGGGTCTTTGGCCTGAGTTGAGCCCTGTGCAAGACCTTCTGGCCTTTCCTTGAGGTTCCCATAGTTATCTGGGGAACTTTTGAAAATACTTATGCTTGGCTCCACCCATAGATATCCCAACTTAATTGTAAAGAGTGGGGTCAGGCCTTGTTTGAAGATTCCTGAGCAGATCTAGCGAGTAGTCAGGGTTGAGCTTTGAGGGGTTCTCAGTCATGGCGGTGAATGTGTGTCTGTAAAATGGGAGCCCAGCTCCTGGGTAGTAGGATGGAATGACCAAGAAGCCATGATTTCCAAACTTAGCTTTGATGAAGGATGGGGCAAGTTATTGTCTTTGAGTTACAATTTCCTCATCCCACAAGTGAGAAAGCATATTAACCCTGATGATTTCTGAAATTTTTTCCTAACATTTGTCCTGGTGCATTGTGTTTCTCAGGGTTAGTAAAGAAAAAGAGACTTTCATAATGTGAAAATTATAAATCTGAAACATTTAATAAAACTATGAGCTACTTATTTCTTCTTAATATCTTATTTTTGGATCTTTTGGATTTATTCTTCCCTTTTAAATTTTTTGAAAGTGTTCTTTAATAGAACAAATTCCCTCTTTCAGCGAATTGGAGCAAAATTCTTAAGAACAATTATGTTAGAATTGGGATTAAAATAGCTACTTTAAAAAAAATCTCATCTGAAATTCTTTCTGGAACACAATGAGGAATGAAAAAAAAATAAATAAGCCTTTTCTGAGTTCATTTCATCCATTTTTTCTCCAACTCAGACTTTTCCAAAGTTCTCTTCCCATGTACTAAAATTATGCATAGCTCAATTTTCTTCTGCTCTCCTTCTGTCTTTAATTTACTTTCATAATAAGATGTCTCTTCAAAAGACGAGGATCAATTTTATACCAAAGTGTGGGAGGGCGGAGACAGCAAAATGAAATGAGAATGGAAAGTGGCCCACCCAGGTGCAGCGCCTGTGGGAGCACCTCCATTCCTCAGAGTTCAATGCTAAAAAGAGCTCCTCCTGCCGCAGCCAAGAAAAACACTGGCTTGCATCTTTTCACGGGTTCTGTATTCAGGCAACGTGACTTTAATTCTTGCTCCACCACTGACTACCCATTCTTTTGTGCGGGCTTTGAATATTGTAGCCCTACTGTCCTCATTTGGACCATAGGGATCTGGTATAACATAACATTTGTGCCTAGGTTCATCTACAGTTTGGAAACAAACTTATCTAGGTTCAGGTGGCACTTCGGCTGCTGTCTGTCTGTGTGGTCATGGGCAACTTCTTTAGCCTCAATTTTTTCTTCTGTAAGATGGAAATCATAGATCATACTCAGTGATGACAGTGTGGTGCATTAGGAAATATGCCTGAGATGGTGCAAGATACAGCAAGCGCTCAATAAAGTAGTTTTGTTTTGGTATAGGTTTTTCATAAGGATTACGTGACGTATTTAATGCTCAACATACAATAAAGCAACAGAGGTTTCACTATCCCAGGAAATCTTTTAGAGATAGCTGGTGAGGATAAGCTAAAATAAAAGGAACTATAATTGTTCCAAATTGTACCAAGAGAGAAAATTATAACGTGTGCCATTTACCCTCTGTATTTGCATGTGTAGTCAATGTACCACAAACCAACATCTCAGGCACCCAGAGGCTGTATATGCTAGTTGGTCCCTAAGGCTGTACTGCTTAGGGATGTCATAGCAGGCTTAGTTTGCACAAGTTCATTGTATGATGTCTACACAACGATGTAATTGCCTAATGACACAGTTAGTGTGTGCAGCACAAGGACAGTTTTTTGGTTTCCTAGGCAACCAAAGGGATGAAAGATGCCTGAGATGTGCACGTGTAAGAGAACAAATCTATTTCTACGTTTTGCCTTTTGGATTTTATGACTTCCTAATAGGTATAAATTGGAGATGTAAAATATTTAGTTTTTTGACTTCTTTACAAATTGGAAGATGACAGGTTTTGAGGGATGATCAAAGAGATACCAGCCATTCAACTGTGAGCCTAAAATCCTATTAAAGTAAGGGAAGGGGCTAAAACTATCACAGCATGGCCTAGAGATCACTGTTGAATTTCTGATACCGACAGTATTATAGCAGAGAACAGCAAGGCTGTGTATTTTCCATTTTTAAGAACAAAAATCACACATATGAATGGGTCCTGCATACAATCTAAAACTGCATTCAAACCTAAACCCAACCTCATCAGAAGGGCAGGTTAACTGAGCAAACTCCATGGCTCCAACAACAACAAATCTAGTGAGGAATTAGTGTCTTTTATTTGACTTCATAGTAATCTTGTCTCTACTTCAAGCCATAAATTGCAGTAATGAGGCATTTCTAGAACAAACATTTTTAAGGAACAGAGCTACAATGTCACAACACTCTAGGTAACAGGCAAAGGCTAAGTGTCTTTCTAACAAGCTATATTTTTAGTGGTAACCGATATTCATTTTTGGTGTTTTTTGTTTGTTTGTTTTCTTCCGGTACCAGGAATCGAATTCATGACCTTGCACTTGCCAGGCACGCTCTTTGCTGCTAAGCTAAATCCCCAGCCCCAGTAACCAATATTTAATTTGGTGCACCTGGTTCCACATTTTTGGTAAAAACATGAAGAACCAGTAAATACAAATGCCTCTATAATGTCGAACATTTGGTGAAAATATTATAGAGGCATTTCTTTGTGTATTTATAACCCAAAGCATATGTTACTGGAATGGGATGTATTATTTCTAAATTGTCCTTAGCTTTTGGTTGAAGATTAGATTTTACGCATGGGTAATTGTATTTTAGAATGAAGATGAATTATAAATAAGATGTATGATGGGTTAAAGGCACTGGGTGTGCAGAACACCTCAGGTACCTTATTATGAGAGATAAACCTTTGTCTTCATAATCTCTTCTCTAATACATTATTGTAATTATCGGTAAATAGGAGCTTAAGTGAAATTCATGGGACCTAGGCAAAGGCACCAATGCATATGATTGTAGGCATTTCTAGTTTTTCTTGATTTCTTTCATTTATCATTTGTTTTCTTTGTGTTAATTTATATTTTCACTTGATAGAAAGTTAGTAAAATTAACGGTAAGGCATGTTTTAGAATATACTATTTGCAAAGCCTATTGATCATAATAAGCAGAGATTTTAACACTTGAAATCTGTAATGGAGAGTAGATTGCATTAAAATAATTGTGTGCTTTTCCACCAGTGCTATTGCCAAGTGAACAATATTATTTTAAGTACATATAAGAATAGCAGAGCTATAATAACTTACTCTTTGACATAGCTCAAGGTCAACCTTGGCTACTTGCTGAACATCTTCCATGGCAAAATAATATTGCAGAGTCAGAACTTCATTTTATAGGTTGGACAACCCTTTATTAATGAGGGGCTATAGCAATTAAGGGAATTGACCAAGGTCAAAGGGTTAGTCTGCTGTACAGCCACACAATCCTTGTGATAAAAGTTCATCTCTTCTCCCCCAAAAATCAAGTATTTTCTGTCCTCTATATTTTCACCTTTCATGCTCACTGGAAAGTGAGCATATTAGACATGTGCACATTAGCTTCCATTTTACCTACATACTGGATGTGTATGCATGTATTTGGCTGGGTTGTATATAAATACCATACATATGCATATGCATACATATTGTATAGGTATGTGTTCAAGTGTACAAACAGATGTATGTGAGAGTTCTTAAATAATGAGGTGGGTTACTCGAGTATGTATTAGATCAAAGTAGAGGCATTCAAAGGAATATTATGCCCAGAGCAGTACCAAAAAAAGGGTACAAATGCTTTCGGGGATGCTTCAAAAGATATTTGAGTTTACCTATAAAATTGTTCTCTGAGCCACGTGGGACCCATGTGATGGAACCCGCAGCTTGCAATGGGCTTCCCCACATCTATTTTTACCTAAATTAACCCTCATGATGATTACATAGGTGAAAATGCATGAGATTCAGCAGCAAGAAAGTGGAAGGACCCTGTCCGAGAAACAGAGCTACGCAGAATCCAAATCGCTTTTTCTTCTCATTATGACAAGCTCCCTCAGGAGATTGATAGCTAATATTTTCAAATTTCGTACTATGTTTTGACTTGGTGTCATGATCTGTCTCATGTGCCGTGCTTAACAAAACTGTAAATTTTATTACAAAATAACATATATAAAATATTTACAAATAATGTGGATATAAAACTAGTTATTATTATAATGATATCACAATATTAACCTTGAATACTGACACTGACTACAAGACAGGCTCCATGGTAAGTATTGAATTTTCATAGCTTAGCCTTTATATGACTCTTAGCTTGAAAGTGGAGGAGATGTTACTCCTATCTGCCCACTACTGGGCACCAACCAGGGCTGCTAAAGGCAAAGAACCTGGGCTGTAAGGCGGGAGCAGGTCCCAGAGGCCTTGTCCCTGCCAGGTGGCCCCTGAGGAGTTGACAGGAAAGGGCAGAATGTGGCAACAGTTAGGGACTTAGTATTTACCATGTCTATCTTAGGGAGGTTTAGTGACAGTGCAAGGTCTTAGCCTGGAAGCTGAGACTGACACTAAAGGCAGTGTTTCCCTCCTTTCACTTTCCCTGTGTGCAGCGCTCCTAGGAATAGCTGGTATTAGTGGAAACTGACTTCCTGAAAAAAAAAGATATAGAAAATCTTCCAGTTCTTAAGACTGTCAAAGGACTAGCCCAGAAGGAACGCGCGCGCACGCACACACACACACAATCAGTTTTGCAATTATAATGACTGGATGATAGTAACGCTGTGGGAACAAATTTATGCTATTCCGAGAAGCCTATGTTGAAGGGAACAGCCTGCTATTTAGTAAATAAGTTTTGTCATGTTCTATATAAAAACACTTTCAAAATCCAATATAAACATATCTCATAATCACTGCAGTTTAAATGCCTCTAACTGTTCACAAACAGCACCAAGAAAATAGATCAGTTATAATAGACAGGCCTTTTGAAAACATTGTTACGGCCTGACTGTTCCATGCTTTTACAGATCTTTTAATTTCCATCAGATATTTCTTTTCAGCAGTGATTTGTACTACCAGGCAGCAATAACATTGTCTTCTCTCTACTGTATCTCACACTGTGAGTGAACGATCAGATAAAATAGGTTAAGAGTATGTATAAAAGAAAAACTGATTGTGGCAAAGGTACTTCTGGGAGCCTTTCCACTCAGCACCTGATAGGAGAGCAGAGGTTAAGCAGTTTGTTAGCAGCTCGCTTACCTCACAGGACCAGCCAGAGTAGCCGGAGGGACAGTCACACTTTTCTATCAGGAGAGCGGGAGGAGTCGCTGCTGTTATGTGCCCCAGCTCAGCCAACTCCATTGAGATTTCAGAAATCCTGAGAACAGCAAATGCATACTTAGATGATCACCGGATGTACATTTAGCTCCACAAGAGGAATCTTCTCACATTATTGTCAACCTTAAGAGGGTTCCATTATTTTGCTTTTGATTAACACAAGATCAGCGTATATATTTAGGAAGATGGTGATGCAATGTCTTGGTATATGCATCCACTGTGGAAAGTTTAAATTAATTAATGCATTTGTTGTTTTGAACCTGGCTGATTTCCAGGGGTTTTTATGCCTCATCCTGTTATTGCATTTTTGCTTCTTTAAAGGTTGAGATTACACATTATCAAAACACCTATACAAATCAGAAGGAATTTAGTGTACTGGATGGCTGCTATCCTCCTGAGACATTGTTATAAAGATTTTTTTCTCATTTTTAAAAATCTGAGCGGCTTCAGGTAGACATGGATAATTAAATAGACATTTATATTCTTTCAGACAGCCCAAGGTCATTCTCCATTAGAATGGCTCCTGTAGTCACTAGTGAAATTGCTTCTAATTTACTACTGTGCCCAACTTTTTTCTTGCAAGCCTTTGAACGTCCTTTCAAGAACTTGAGAAAACCGCCTAGAAAACAAAGCTTGAGAATGATTTAATAATATCCATCCCTTTTGAGGATAAAACCCCCTTCAAATTAATATTTTATTAATCTTATTAAGTAAATCCTTCAAGTGATATAATTCACCTTTGCTATTGGTGGAAAAGCCCTTATAATTGAAAAAAAATAGTCACAGTGGAACTATTGATACCCTTTTTATTAATTTGAAATTGTACACTAAAAATATATGCAGTCCATAAACTCAGACTATTTCATGATTGACTAACTAGTAACATGAAAATGTTCTGCAAATAAACTTTTAAGTGAGACAATGAATGGTTTTCCTTCAATAAAAGACACCTCCAATAGTCTAAGGACTTTGAATCGTACGCTTCATAACAAGCATTGGTAAGTTTTATTGAATTATGAATGCACACTCGGGTTTCACTAGCGTTGTAATTTGCACCTGAAGATTAGCCAGCCTTTATGAAACAGACATGCAGCTTCCGTCCTTGTACTCTGTCACCCACTGCTCCTTAGAGTACACATACAGAGGGCGAGTGGTCCACAAACCACTTCTCTCTGATCTGGAAGCCTCTGTCTTTCTGTTTCCCTGGAGCTGGGGACACAAAGTGTTCACATGGTGTTTGCTGACAAGTCTCCTTCTTTCTGCCACCTGTGTGACATTTTATAGCTGTAGAATGAGTAGCATCATCTATCTTTTGCACAGCATGCACAAACACAGCAGACCAGCAAGTGTTTAAGATCAAGTGAAGTTGGAAGAGTGGTAGCAACATGCACCTCTGGATTCACAGTTTTCCTCAGCAGATTTGAGCGGGATTTGAGGAGGGTAGAAATGAGGAAGGATGGAGTAATCACAACAGCAATGCTTTTGCTTGCATTGGAGATATGATATCTATCTTAAGGTTTACTTAGTTACAGAAGTAAGTGGTAAGAGAAGACTAAAGCAAGAATGAAAATGCTGGGATTGATAAAAAAATGTGGACAATTTTGAACTGCATGTAAAGCTAATTCTGGTTTTGTTTAAAGTTATATAATAATAGAAATGAGAGTTTATGTTTGAATTATTTCAGATGGACTGTTTAAGGTTTTAAAAAAACTTTCTCGTGAATCCACTGTCTTATGACACCAAGTGCTTATTAGTTCTTATTTCTCCTAGACTATGACTCAAGTTTTATGGAGCTTAGAAATAATTCCTCTGAGCTTAGAAATAATATTTCCTCTGAAGTTTCAGAACATGAACACTAAAATTCGAGGATTTCATTAGGTGAGCTATGAGAGGGAATGTGTAAGAGAAAGAGACACTGGGCAAAAAGACAAAAGGTCACTGTGTAGAAAGGTGAAATTAATGAGGGATCTAAAAAAAATAGGATGAAAAATGAACAAAAACATTGAATCTATCAGTTCTGCTATCAAAATGTTCTTTCTGTTAGCTACCAAGTTTATTGCAGATTGGAACAACTGGCAAAATAATTGATTTGCATATCTATTGTAGGAAACAAGCCTATCCTGGTTCCTGTTAGGGGGGCATTTGAAGGAAGCAGGAGACCACTGGTCTTCCCTCTCCCCACACCACATGTAGAGACCTAGTCCTGCCAGTTTCTTCCCTGATCTTGGCAAGCTAGGATGAAAACCAAAGAAACACAGAGTTAGTTTAGCATGCAGGCAGCCACAGGGGCTCTAGCCTCTACTGGACAGAGAGCCTGAAGCCTGTGGCTTGACTTGCTTCCATTCACTTACACATGGGCACAAGCAATTAGAGTAGCAAAAGATTCATCTACATCCCATTATCTTATAAGTACATGCCCAGGTAAACAGCCCGATCTTATCTGTGTAGGGTGTCATCCTCCCTGCATGTTCAAAGGAGCACAGCTTGCTGCCTTTCTCCTTTGTGCTCACAGAGGAGGTCAATTAGGCCTTGGTTTGCCTTAACTGGCCTCTCACAGTCTATGACATGCAAATCTGTTTTGGTTTTTCCATATAATGCATATTCGATATTCTATAATAATTAACATTATAGTAGAGAAAATGTTTTCAGTGCATGTTTTTATTTCGTATGAAATTTAACCATCACAGTAAAGGGTATGACAAGAAATAAGGATATAGATTAGAAAGTGAAGGTTGGTCTTTCATTCTATAATTTTAATGGTTTCTTCATTACTAATCCCTTTCCCATAATTTATAAATGTAATTATTTTTCTCTCAAACAAGCATCCTTTAACTTTGGACACTATGACATTCCTTCTTTCTGTGATTTACATTCATGGAAAACAAGTGAGTCCTCACAATTTTAAGCTCACTGTGTCCTAATCTTTCTTTAAGAGAGTATATCTGCCCCAGGACTCCACTGAAACTGACATTACTGTCATGAGGGTGACCCTAAGTGTCAGTCTCAATATGCCTCATTTTAATTGGCTCCTTTGAGTCACATGAAAGTACTATTTCTGTGAAGTATTTGCATGCTTCAGTTTCCAAAACATGTTATTCTTGAGGTTCTTCTGCATGTTTTTTCCCTATGTGATTCCCGTCATTTCACATCACAGTCCATTGTGTGAAAGACCATATTATATAGCACCCTGGAGTGGGCAGATGGGAGCACTCATGGTTGGAACAGACTGGACCACGATTTCCCTGCTGGGTCCCCTTGAAAGCTGAAGGAGGTCACTTCCTCATTCATCTTATAACACATCTAGGGCAGAGCAGTTACTTACATCAAACCCACAGTACACACTTCCCTGAGATTTTCACTGACATCTTAAATTCACCATGTCTAAGGTAAATTCAGCATTTTCCCTCTTTAGTTGTACTGTTTTCCTTTCTTGGAAAGGAAAATAGAAAGGAGCAGTAGCTTCTATCTGGTGACATGGAAGCTACTGTTTGCATGTCTCTTGTCATCACACTCTGAAACCAACTACTTCCGAATCTTTCTTTTTCTTTCTTTTTTTTTTTTTTTTTTTTTTTTTTTTTTTTTGGTACCGTGAATTGAAATCGGGACCTTGCACTTGCCAGGCAGGCACTTATGCTGCCGAACTATATCCCCAGTCCCCAAATCTTTCTTATCTGATGTTTTACTCACCTTGCCTACAGTATAGACTAAGAACTAACTTGAATGTTTTTTGTCATGGTGTACCTGCTTTGTCTCATGAAATTCCCATAAGTGGCCTTGATGAGGATATAGTGGATATCATATAGGGTGTCCATGAAGTCTTCACGGCTCACAGTTCTACTGATTCGAGGATCATCACCAAAATATTTCCATTCTTTCTGTTAACAAGAAAAGAAGTTACTTTGACAAAACTGAACACAAGCCATTGGCGTCTTTGCACCAAAACAACTAATAACTTTACCTCTGTCATTTCAATTTCATGTCTTGTCAGTTGGCCAATGAGAGGAGCAGCCATATGCCTGATGATAATTCTAGCATGGGTAGGAGTCCCACCTCGAATGATAACTTGAGGCCTGTAGGTAGAGAAGCTCGTCTCTTCTCGTGCTTCAAAATAGATTGCATATCTGAGTTTGCCCCCATAAGCCATCAACTGACAAAAGAAAAGAAACAGCGATGATTTAGATAAATCTCTGAATGGTATGATCCCAAAAGACACGTTTTACTTCATTCTTATGAGACTTCACACGTCTTACCTTCTTTCCTTCAAATTGTTCTGGGAGTTTCCAATAGAAAGGCTCTAAGTGGAGATCTTGTCTTACCAGATTCATGTTTGCCACAATCTCTGGGGGTTGAGAATTAATGCCTTTGGTCGTTGTATGCTGCAGTGCCTCATCCACCAGTGGCAGAATGGTCTGCTCTGCCTCCAGAGTCACCTGCATGGGGTCCAAATACAGTAGAAAGTGAACTTAATTGCCTGGGCATCTTTTAAGATGAGGTTATGGGCCACGCTTCTGTTCGGAGTGTGCCCACTCGTCCTGATGAAGTGCGTTCACAAGAAAGAGGACTGCCACTTACAAGGCGAGAACATAGTTTGCATAATAAATACCACAATATCTGAAACTTTTTATGCTAATAAAAATCAAATTTAAAAGGAAGAACTAAAGGAAAGTTAAAGTAAAAATGAGACTGTTTCTGCCTAAAGCTGGATAAACTCCTAGGGCCCGTTGGAATACATGCAGGGCATTCCAGTTGCCCTTGCTGTATTAGTACATGGCAACACTCATGCTCTGGGGCTGCTGTTCCTTAGAGCACAGCTTCTTTCTGCGCCAAAGCATAAAGCCTCCTTGACAATGTTTCCTTTTCTCCCTTGGCATCTATTCCTTTATCAACAAAAAAAAATGAACCATCTTTAAGGAAGAATTAAAAAAGCCATTAACTCCAACTGCCTAATGACGCACAGCCCCTCTACCATTTCTGAGTGTGCACCACGGCAAGGCTTCTTAAATGTTTTGCCACTTCCTCCTCTCCCTCAGGGCCAACCTAAAAGATGCCAGCAGGGGTGACATGGCATGGCTGGGCGGTTCCTCGCTCACCCGCTTGGGGACCAGTCCTTTGGCTTCGGAGCACTGGCTGGTGACTCCGAAGCAGTAGCAGCTGCTGCAGCCACGTGGGTTCTTGGCCTCTAGTCCGAATTTGCCCGGCTGGCACCTGTCACAGCGGATGCCCTCCACGTTCACCTGATGAGAGGAGATCCCACAGAGTTCTCAGTAAAGTTAGGGGGAAAATCAATTGAAGAATGAATAAGAGGAACACATTTCTGCATTAAAGTAAAACAAAAGACCCCAAATTTTGGACTCCCATCTAAAATGGCTTACATAGCTAACCTCACTGTTAGGTTTTCATGGTTTTACAAGAAGTGTTTATGGTTATAAGTATACCCATTACTAGAGGTATTTTATATTGTTTTTAAATCTAAATGGCACATTGCCTATGATTTTGCTGTGAGAAACACGAAACCCTCACGGGAATTTAAAAAGCCAAATAAAAAGTATTGCTAGGTAGTGGTACTATGCCAAGTTGTAAAAAATCAGGCAGGAGCCTAATAACATGTATCTATGTGATTATTATAACATAATGTTATATAATATGATATAATATATACTTATATAGAGAACATGTGTGAAACAGGAAAATATAATTATAATGTGTAATAATGTGGCATTGTCCTCTGTTTTGACTGAGGTTCTTCATGCCAGAAGTTATGATTTTCCTAAATATCAAAAACTATATTAACAACCACTCTCTAGATTTCATCTTCCTTTTTCCTCTGCTCCTCTCTGCATAGATTTTTATCTTAAAAACTCTGACAATTTAACTGTGTTTATTCTGGGACTGATGGTTCAGAAATAGGTAAGGGGGAAAAATCCCTCTCATCCTTTTTAATTGGCTGTTTTTCTACATCATTTAGCAACATTAACGAGGCTTAAATTTGTACATAGTTGCTGTTTGGAAGTCAATATTCATAGGTGTTGAAATTTTAGTGAATGTCCACAGCAGTAATTATGTATTTCAGCTTTCAGAAGGCTTATTGTTTAGCTGTGATTTTCTCCGGCAGCACTTAAAACAATAGTGTTCCCTGCCCCAGTCCTCAGATTTTTCTTGTTTAACAAAGGGAATATATAAAGAAAAGCAATTTCACTGCATTATTGAAAATATATCTCCTGTTCCATACTAGAGAGACAGTTAGGTTCGGGTTGAAAATAAGTTCTTAACAAGCAGAGCTTGTTTTATTTGCATGCCTCTGCACATATATCAATGAAAACTGTGTCGGGCAATGAGCTTTTGTTTGTGCAGGCTAATGAAGCAGGAATAATGAACACTGAATGAAGCTAAAACTGAGGAATGGAATCAGAATTGAGAAAGGCTTCGCCTGGCAGTGCTGGGGCGGCACATACCTTGCAACTGCACTGCCCATTTTGATCACTACAGGAGCATATTTTCGTGTCTGAGTCACAGGTCACAGCCTCTGTCCCAGGCAGGAAGCAGTCACAGACAGCACAGTGCGGGTAGTTCCAGTGACCTTGTTTGCACATTGTACATTTTGCACCGGAGAATTTAGGATGGCAGTCACACTGGCCCGTGTTTATGTTGCACTGGAAATCCAAGGATCCCGCTGTGCTGCAGTTACAAGCCTGTGAAGGAAAGAAAAACAACAACCATTACCACAACTTCATGGGGAAGATCTTAAAATTTTAATCCTAATGATTCTATGCTTCTATTAACCCATATTAATCACGTAGCTATTACAGGCTTTGTACTATTTTAGTTTAGCCTCTTAGGGAATATCAGTGAACATAAACATTAAAATTGCTTCCTGCATTTAAGAAAATAGACGATTATCCAGAAACCATAACACTATGTAAATATGAAAGAAAAAACTGTATTTTTTGTCTTTTCATGAAAGGGAGGGGTTAGATATGGCTTTTCGTCAAGTACTTTTTATTTCAAAGATTAAACTGTTGACAAGCTCATCTGACTTCCTAACTTAATATAGCATTTTAAGCTCTATGCAGATATAACCTATGTCTGGTGGGGTAAATACATAAATATAATGCTATAGCATAAGCATTATGTAATGGGAGAAGTGTGGAATGCTTCAAGGACAAGCAAAGCATGGAGCAGGACTCCAGGGAGAGGGTAAAGACTGACACCTAGCAAATAGGTTTTGGAGGTAGAGATACATAGACAATCTTGATTTGCAATGCTTTGTTGGCGGCTTTTTCTTTGATCTTTACCCTACAGGGGTATACAATTTTCTCTTTATTTATGTAATACAAATGTTTGCTAAAATTTTTAAAATCTGGAGTCTTTGTTTTTCATGGAATTGCTGCAAAAGAGTGTATGTTCGGTTAGAAAATGTAATTGTTTTTTTATTTATATCTAAAGCTGTTCAGGGGGCTGGGGATTTAGCTCAGTGGCAAAGCGCCTGCCTGGCAAGCGCAAGGTCGTGAGCTCAGTTCCTGGTACCGGAGAAAAACCAAAAAAAAAAAAAAAAAAAAAAAAAAAAAAAGCTGCTCAGATTTGTCTTTGGTTTTACACCTATTTTCATCAATTTTATTCTTTAGGATCAACCATAATTCTTTTTACTTGAAATAGGAGTATTTCTTGTCTGCCTGCCAAATATATAATATCATAATGTCCTCTCTAACCCTTTTTCTAGCTTTACCTGTCTTGTGATGGTTGTGTCTCAATTTGGTTCTTTTTTATATCTCCTGTTTTACACAGCAAAAAATGTATGCTGTATCTGTACCACCAATGCATATTTTAATTTATTGCTATTCAGCTGCTTTTGAATAATTTCTTAATTTCATCTCATTTTGAACTTCTGTTCTTCTAGTTGGGTTTTGTTTGTTTTCTCTTCTTCTCTTGATTTCCAGAGTTCAGGTCAACTTGAAATGTATTGAAAATGCCAAGTAGATTTCTAAAAATGTCAGTCAGAACCTTGGAATCTATCACTTTCAAAGTCAAGCTGTAGGGGCTGGGGATTTAGCTCAGCGGCAAAGCGCCTGCCTGGCAAGCGCAAGGTTGTGAGTTCGGTTCCCGGTACCGGAGAAAAACCAAAAAAAAAAACAAAGTCAAGCTGTGCCAGTTATCACTGTACAGTCCCTGGCTCTAAATCCACCCTGCTTTGCAATACTGCAGGAAGACTCACAGACGTTTCTTTGCGGCCAGGGAGTGAGACACTAAGCTTAGTCAATAGCGGATCTCAGAGGAAGTGACAGGACCACAGTGGTGAGCCAGAGACCTCTCCATTCTGGGCTTTGGCTCTTCATTAGTATCATTTTCATTATTACCCTTTATTTTAATATAGAAGTCCAGAGGCCCAGAACGGACCCAGTGGTAACTTTGGCCATTCGCTTCCTGTACTCACCCTTCTCAATAGCTTTGAACTGCATGTGCAGCTCTGAACATGATGCTGCTTCTAAGTAGTGCTGCTCCTGTAGCTTCCCAAGTAGGGGGCAGCTGTACAGACGAGCCCTCACCCACAGACTCTGGCATAATTGTTCTTGCTTTGTATCCAGCAGGCTGTGCTTCCTGGAACCAGCCACATCCTCCTCCAAGACATGCTAATGTCCTTGCTGAGGTGGGTAAAGGAGGCTGCCATCTCCTAGCTTTTGATTCCTTCAGGACCACCCTCTCTCAGCCTACAGGGGTAGCTGCACTTTTGCACTTGCTATGTGAAGGCCCTATGTCTCTTTAATCCTTTTTGAGTAACTAATTGCTACTCAAGGCAGTTAACAATTCTTTATATCCTACTTTCCCTGCTTACATAAACTGCATGGTTCCTGTCTTCCACATGGAGTCTGACTTGGTAGCTGTGTGGGAGTCATCTCTCTTTGTGTCTGACTTGCCCATGCAGTGGTTTTTTTTTTT